TTAATGCTTAAAATATTGAGATTTTTCCTTCTGAGACCACAGACTGAATGTGGGGACAATTCATGTGGAGTTGCTTCTAGAAGTTTGTCATGCCTTACTCATTTCCTATTTCATATTTTGCAGGTCTTTTTTGATCTTTCTAAAGAGCTATTGTGTTTCAGGGATTTGGTGGCACACAGGACTGTTGTCCTCAGAATCAGTAACATACCTCTTTTCTGGTTTTCTGTGCTTGTTACTGATCAGTTTAGATTTTTTTTTTCTTGGTTTGCCAGGAATCATTGCAAATTCACCTTACCGTAAATGGATTGGGAAAGGTGTTCATTGGTAAAATAACTAATTAGGTAATGTTTTTAAACAGGCCTTAAATGAGTGCTTAGATTCCTAGGCTTGTTAGAAAAAATTCTGAGTTGATCTTTATGTTGATAAAGACATAGTCGTGACCTGCCTTTAGCTATTTGTTTCCCCCCTGCCTGCATATGGAATGACACTGAATGAACTTGGGGCAAGCTGTGTGGTTGGATTATGTACATGAAACTGACCAAAGCTATACCTGCAAAGTTGGAGCTAGGATGTGAATACCTGTTTCAAAGTGTGGGAAAACCTTTCTTGTCAGCACAATATTTCTGTACGTGTACCTGGAACACAGTGGCTCTTCAGGCTTGGAGTTATCATTGCATTATATTATACATTGCATTGTATTATATTATATATAATATAATATATATTATATTATATATATATATATAATATATATATTATTAAGTGTGTGCAAGGTGTAAATTGTCAAGGTGTAGTAGATTTTAAGTTAGAAAAACTTTCTGCCTATTTTTGGGTTCTACCATATGGAGAGAACGCATTTGAAGTCTTTGGTGATGTGATGTATTCTGTGGGTCTGAATCAAGTGAAACAGCTGTGCTTGATCACATGTGTACACATGGCTATGTATTGGGAAGGAAACACTGGATTTTTACTGCAAACCATTCTACAGCGGGCAAAGTGTTTCCATGAAAAAAACCCAGACATCTAGAAAATTTGTCTGGAAGGAGCAATAAGTTACATTTGATAGTGACTGGCATATGTATCTCTGTCTCCCTAAAGTCTTTGATTCCCCTGTTCCTGGTGAAAATAATAAATTAACTGAAGAAACAGTGATTTGCACTAAAAAAAACCCCACAAAACATATCTCTGTAATTTGACTCCACTGAGTAACAAAGTTAAGTAAATATGAGTTGTGCTTTTGCAAGTAGATTTTCCAGTAGAATGGGTACATCACAATTTCTACTCTCTTGTCTTCCACCTTAGAAATAAGCCTTTCTCATACTTCATTTACAGGATGTTGAATTTGCATAATGTTTGCTGTTGGCTGTGATAAATTTGGTTTTCTTAGTGTCTATTCAAATTAATGCTCAATGTCTTAATTAAAATGTTGTGGTGTGTTTGTCTCCATGCATAATTTCAGATAGTACGTGGAAGGATGGAGCATTTCTTCTATCTTGGAGTTCGAACATCTTCATGCTCAGTCCCTTAAAACACTACTTAAAAAAGTTCATTAACAGGAGGGAAGGAAGCTCTAGTCTACTTGCTTAAACATTTGTTTGCTGAAATATGTATTTAAGGAGTATTGTAGTTATGTGAACAACTGTTGAGACTTTGATTTTATAATGATATCTCGATGCAAGAAATAAGGGAAACAATTTGGGAGGAACTAAAGTTACAGGGATGGAAACTACAGATAGAGGCATATGAAGGAAACAAGGCTTCTTTCTTCTCTGTAGAGCAGCTTGCCAATTTGACAAGTTTATGAGAGATGGTTAATAATAATTTCCACAAATTTTCAGAGACTGAAGAAAATGGCCTCCTATTTTAAACCAGTTCATTAGAAATGGTTCACTAAAGTCTCTAAACTTCCTGTGCCTTGAAAAAGATTTGGCTACGGCAGTCACCTTAAGTTAGGTGATTTTTGTCTTCGTGATGAAAGCCTAGTTAGACAGTCTAAATTTCTTACTTAAAAGTGTTCTCTGTATAGGATATCAGTAATTAATAAATAGTTTTTTTGAGTATCTATCAGTTCAGAGCTATGAAACATGAGTGGAATTTTTTACTGGCAACTTCTTGGTTACTGTGGTGTGCTGTAGTTATCAGGTGTTGAAGCTGAAAGCAGGGTGCCATTTGACACCAAAGCAACATAGAAAAGGAAGGCGTGAGTACTCTATATTTTCCCAATATTTTCCTATTTTCTGTTCAAATGGTTGAAAACAATGGATGAAGTGTCTACCCTAACCCTGTAACAGAAAAAAAATAGCTTATTACTGCTACCACTTACTTCTTCGTATGCATTCAAATATGGTTGTTAATTACCAATGACCATATATTAGTGGTTTGTGGGTTTCTCTGAGGCGTAGCCATTAAACTTTCCTGGCTTCCCATCATGGTCCTTAGCTGATGGATGGGTGAAAAGCAATTCATTGGCTTGTTTAAGCAATGCTTTGCTGACTGTCATGAATATGATGACTGGTCAGTTAAAGAAGGCAAATACACTCATGTTTTCATGAAGGTTGTAGGAAATAAATGTCTTGGATAGTGCTGTTATATCTTGTTGAATTTCAGTGAGTCCAGAATTTACTTGGTGAGGGACTAGGAGTAAACAGAAACAAATAGTGAGCATGATCACACTAAACTTGGTTCCTTTTTTTCAAATAGGATACTGTACTAAAATGTAAGTTATGCATGTAAGTAATGTGGACAGTTTTAGTCTGAATGCAAAGAAGTTGTCCAGGATAATGCATCTAAAAGTGAACTCCATTGTGGAAATGATTTCGTTTTAAAACTACTTAGTCTTCCATAGTGAAGTAAGAGTAATGTATTGGACATCACACCTTTTATTTTGATTATTAAAAGAATTGCTGAAAAATGAAAACAGCAAGAAACTACCACTTTAAAGAGGGCTTAAAAGATGGGGAGTCAAATTGTGACCTCAGTTTGATTTGCTTTAACTGTGATATTGGCTGCTACTAACAGTTTAATATTCTTTGTTTTGGAATTGTCAGAAGATGGAGAAAACAATTTTTTCTTTTTTCCTGTTATTTTCTTCTTTTTTATTTTTTTCCCTTTCTTTTTTTTTAAAAAAATTATTATTTCTATTTCAATGTAGTGGCCTCTATTTTGCACAAATTTATAGGAACTATGAGGAGGCAGAAATGCCTACAGATATCCTAGTTTCTTTTGACAAATTAATGCATTGTGTCAGATACCATGCCTTAGAGCAACGAGGATTTTCAGATTTAAAAGAGGCTTACCCTGGACAAAAATGGGAATGAGGGTTTGTTCACAAGACAAACTGGTAGTTGGTCTTTCAGACTGAGAACTGATGGGGTGTTGTAATGGAAAGCACACAACTTAGTTTCAGTGAGTATTCTTTGAGCCTGAAGCCTTCCTGAGTCACAAATTAGGAAAAGTCTGGGCATACCTCAAAGACAGAAGACAGCTTAAATTTTGATAAGAAAGTACACCTGGAGTGTAGAACCTACTTTCATATGGCAGTCTGCTTTACCACGTCCTGTGTGTCCCTTCATATGTTTCTTCTTTTGTTCTGTCTTGGAAAGTACTTTTTATTCAAAAATTATTTTAATGTCTTACCAGAAAAAAACCTTAAATATATATCAAGAAGACTGCTTGCTAAATGATTTTATATGCACTATGAAATACTCTTCAGTCTTTAGGAACTGGAATAGGCAGAGTGAACTAAGCATAATTACCAAGTTTAATCTGAAATCTTCTGTTCCCTAAAATTTTTTTTAGGATTTTTTCCCTTACTAGTCAATATGTAGTAAAGGTTGTTCTTTGGGTTAAGTCTTAGAGAGATTTTGCAAAAAAACTAATTAATTAATTCTGTAGATAATTACATCTCATTAATGTGTTTAATGATCTTGAAATATGTGTAAAACTGCATTTTTACCTGATATTCCACAATACTTTCCTTGCATAATTATGGATTTTGGAACAAAATCTGTGTTACATACATGAGGAAATGGTTCCATAATTATACTAATGTTTGCATAATTAACAAGCTGCTTGCCAGTTTTAACTGACAAATTCCAAGTTGCTTCTGCATGAGGGGAAAAAAAAACCATAAAAAGGCAACTTGTGTTAGTTTTTCCTTTCATACTTCTTACAGGTGTTGAAGCTATTTATTTCTCATTTGCAAGTGAATTTATGTGGTTTTTTCCTGATAGGCGGTGCTGTACAGATTTGGAGGGCTGGCTTCCTCCACCTATGCTCTGGGGCTGTTCTGGGGGCTGCCCTCCAGCTCTGCCAACATATCTCAGTCCTGGCTTGTACAATCCCCTGCTGCTTCTGCCGCAGCTCTAGGCAGCTCTTCAGAAGTGACTGCCAATAGCGCTGGCTTCTTCCAGCCGGTGCAGTAGTTTGCTGCTGCTCACAAATGGGGGCTGAGGAAAGACCACCAAAACTTATTTCCACTTGTGACCCAAGGCAAGGTTTGAACTCCAGTTTCCGCTGAAAAATGGCAAGTGTGCCGTTGGCCTTCTGTACTGCTCAGCTGTGCAGATGTAATGCTTTACACAGCTACTGAGTAAAACATTGTTGTCTAAATAAAAGCTGAAAACACTTAGTCATTTTAAGATCCTGAAATTAAATGCTTGTAATAAAAACATGAAGGAGAATAGTTGACGTGGCTCTTATGAAGTGAAAACAAAAGTCTATCTATGTGTATATATGTATATTTGTTATTTCCATTTCTAAGTGGTCTTGTGTGTTTTCCTCACGGTGTCTAGATGTATTTCATGCGTAACTGTTTGTATTAAAACACATATATGCAGCATTCTTTCGCTTTCATTGAAAACCTGTGAATCACAACAAAAATGCTGTTAGAACATCTAAGGTAGATAATTAAAATATAATTAAGTTTAAATGCCTTGGTGAAGGAATATAAAAATATTTAAATTCAACAGGCTAGTACATTTGCAGTTTTCTTTTATTAGGTGCGAAATCTAAGAATCCCCTGCCAACTCTTGAGGGCTCAATCCAGAATGTTGAATTGAAGTACTGCGGCACATCATTGGTCAAATGTGCCTCTGGGACCGTGGGATCAATAAAAATTTGTGCCAAAGCCCCAGGTATGTGCAGCTGGACCATGTAAAACTTTATTGCCTGTATAGGAGAATTGGCCTTGCTTTTTACAAGGGGAGTTACTGAAACAAGAATTTACTCATTGTTCCTATGAATCAGAGAGGGGTTTTGTGTTCTGTTTTTGGGGGTTTTTTGTTATTATTAAGTATGTCATGATGATCCAGTCTTGTCTCAGTATAGTCAAATTTTACTAATTTGACTAAAAAGACCAATTTTTTTTTCTGCTGAGAAAAATATTAATCTAGAAGCATTCAAGAAATAGGAAAAATACAGAATACTTTCAGCTAGCTTTATCCTTAGCATAATTTTGATGCTTTCTCGTGATTACTTAATGCCTCATTTTCAAATAATGCTATAAGTGTGTATTTTGCTTGTAAAGTTTTTGAGCACTCTGTGATTTTTTTTTATTTTTTTTTTTACTTCTTTAATAAAATTTTTCCTGACGAGGATGTAGGAACTTATCAATGTCTATGATCTCTTTATGGATAAAAGCAGCTAAGGTCAAGAACATTTAAAATTGAGTGTTTTTAAATTGAGTTCATGGTGATGTTTAAATAGATTATTTTATGAAATTGGGAAGGAAATTACTGTTTTAAAGATAATAAATTATTTTATTTGAAATCCTCCTGAATGTCAAGGCATTTACAGGATAAACATTAAGTAGGTTGTTCAATAGTTTTTATGATGCTGCTCTTTCCATTTGCTCTTTTAATTCTGTATTCACAATGTTGATTAATAGATGTTCTCATTGGACTAGTGGATGTTTGTCTTAGAAAATGATCTTGTCTGGTAAGTACAAAACTCTTGTTAAGCTGGTATCACGTTACATTTGTCCTATCCAATGTAATTTTCAAAAGAGGGGCTTGATATAAAATGTGCCAAATGTCAAGAGTATCTTCTACACACACCGCACGCATCATAACTTCAGCTCACTGTGAGACAAATGAACTGAAAGGTACATTTCGATGGATGTCTTCTTCAATAAGGAGACCTTCATTAACTTTGGTTGCCTTTTAAAATAATTGTAGACAAATGAACTGAAAGGTACATTTCGATGGATGTCTTCTTCAATAAGGAGACCTTCATTAACTTTGGTTGCCTTTTAAAATAATTGTAGGAAACTTTTGTAAACTTCAGGCAGGGGAGGGAGGGGTACCAGGATCCATGTTGAAAGTGTTGGTTCTGTTCTCTCTTGCCTGATACTGGGTTGGCCTTCTTATACAGAAGTTGACATACAGAATTCTAAATGGTTCATATCAGTTTCCAGCATAACTTATTACTAAGAATTTGTTTATCATATTTGTTTATCATAAAGTTTGCTAACAATAAAAATAATTTAAAAAATAATGCAGGGCACACTGACCTCATCAAATGTGGTGTTGTGGTGGCCTTAAATGCGAAGTTAATAATTTGTGAGAGTTGTCTGGCTAAATTTAAGGATGTTGTTGACTTTGTGGGCATAAATACTTTTACCTGGCATTCTTATGGTTTCTGTGGTCTTTAAACAAAACATTGGTCTGTCTTAAGCAACACTGACAACTTTGAAATGTATCTAATTTGAAATAACCCATGTAGTTTGTGAAATATACCTGGAACTAGGTTTTGCTGTCAGTGTGGTGCTTCTTAAAAAACATGCTTTCATGTTTTTCAAAGCTTCTTCTATTGCCATGCTAGGCATGGAATGAGATGTGGGAAAATAACAATGCAGAAAAATATCTAGGTTAAGGGAAGCAAAAGAATTACCTGACCCCAATATCATGAAACACAGAAGTAACTTGAACACTTCAAATGCGTGTTTTTTCTCTATGTTTTTCCCATGTAATGATTCTTGAATGTCATTAGTCTGAAAAGTAACAGTGAATTTATTACTGTCATTGCAATTTTCATCTGCATATGTAAGCAACATTTGATTCTTATGCAGAGTAAATATTTGTAAGCACTGTGCACTCCAGCAGTTGTTAGGTTATTTTTTCAGTAATTGTACTTTTATATTTCTTGGAGAGCATCATGTTGAAAATGTTTACAGCAGTGTTTTTATAACAATTATCTTCAGTTCCTACTCCTAAAGCATTGCCAAAAAGCAGTTCATGATTCAATAATAAATATCTGAATTACTCATATCCATTTTAAAACAGAAGCTGAAATCTCTTGCACCTGTTGACTCATTTAAATACCTTTTAAAAGCTCATAACAACAATATTTATTACTATGACTAATTGTAGCATTTCTTGCTGGTTTTGAGGATTTTTTTTTGTTTAATTTTCTCATTTTTTGTCTTATACTTTATACTGTAAAGGCTCTCTGGATACCTATACTGTACACTTACTGTTTTTGTTACAGGTCATAAGGATCCATACATTTTTGCTCATGAGTATTATAGATGGTCCAGTTAGATGGTCTGGAGTCCTTGATGAGTTGTGACAGGAGGTGCTTATGAGAATTAAGGCACTGACAAATGAAGGGGCCAGACTCACATTCAAGGATTTTGAGATACAAAACATTCTTTTGTAATAGACAATTGTCTATTTTGTAAATGAATGGACATACATTAAAAATGTTAAGATTTTAAAGTTCGGAATGTACTGGATACTTCACCTACCCCCTCAGTAAAGTAAAACAGGAAAGTTGAAGTGAATTTGTGTGCACAATGGCAGTCACTAACTTGCGTGTTCAGGCTCTAGCTCTGCTCCTCTGCATCTGTAAGGTAGCACCTGTGAGGAGTGACAAATGAGAGGAAAAAGTTAACTGATTTGCTGAAGCTTTGGACTCAGTCAACAGCAACAATGTTGTACTGAAATAGTTTTAATTTTTTTAACATAAATCAAACCAGGAGTAATTAATGTTTCAGTTGTCTCAGGTTCTGTACAAAGGATCAGCAAAGCAAAAGCCTTTGCTTTCAAATACTTGCTGAAGAAACTGGGAAAATTTAATACAGGAGATATGGCTATCATTTTCATTATGACTGTGAAAATTACATATAGGGAAAACATGAAGTGCTTTGAGAGCATAAAAATGCATTTGCTGTCAGTTGCAGAGTTTAAAAAGTGGCTTCTGGGAGTTGAAAAAGCTATACTGGATAATTTCACAGAAAAAAAACCTCATCCCTTGGGAGTAAAAGGGTTTTTTAAAGCTGTACTGCTGGAGGTGATTGTGCAGTACTGAAGTTGTGCTGTTTGTGAAATTTTTCGTACTAATGTTGCATATAATGTCCTGTAGTAGGAATTTGGACTAATTAATTCATTAAATTGAATGGAAAACAGCTTGATCAAAAATCAGAGCAGCTGTTTGGATATAAAATGCTAAGGAGGAGGTTGTGCAAATGGCATGAGATTCTTGAATAAATTGCATATTTACCCAGAAAACAAGGAGGGGACTGTTCCTCCTCCTTGCATCAGCAACTGTCTACTGTCTTGTATCACTTGAATCATGATCCAGGGTGATCAAGATGGTTGTGCAACTTCCTTTTACTGCTTGTCTGTATATGGTCCTGCAAAGTTTGGAGATGTATTTACAATCTGAGGGATAGAGCGTTTGACACTAGTATTTCCTTTTTGCTATTTCACTTGTGCTGTTGAGAGAAAGAGGAAAAATAATATGGTTCTAGCAATACCATACTGAGTACAACCATCAAAAAGATCTAAACTGTACTTTCAAAAAGGGCAGCATTTAGAGCATATGATGTGTAGCATGTAAATGTATAACAAGCATAAAACAATTCCATATACTTATGATTACCCATCAGGAGCGTTTTACTGTTTGACGCATAAGTGTCATCACATGGAAAATTGATCCACCTATGGCAAAGGAAGTATTTAGGGACAAAGAATGTAAATATGATTTTGCTTAGTCCTTAAATACAGCCTGAATGCTGTGATTTTAATTTTGGATACTTCAATTGTATGAAAAACTGCCCCAGATAATCTCTGTGCATAGTTGTAAAAATGTGAATATGCTCCTCAGTTTTTAAGCTGCACATATAAGTACAAGAGAGGAGATTATTCCATTACCCCAGGGCTTGAGAAGGTCTTCTTACTCTTTTTCTGAAATAACCCTGGCTTTATTAACCCTGGGAGCAAGCTGCAGACCTTGTTTGTTTCACCTGGCCTTTGAGAGAAGAGGGAGATTTCAAAATGAATGCTGGTGTTAGTGGTTAATTATGAACAGCTGTTGAATAGATGAGGTGAGCTGATTACGCTCTATTTGGTTTGCCATACTGAATAATTGGGAGTGCATGCACAGCCAGTGTATGGACAGCTTTATTGCAAATAAATCAAGAGGAACAAAAAGAAAAAATACAGTTAATAAAGTTTTCTCTGAGATGAGCTTAAATAGTCAATAATGCAGCAGTGAAATCAGGGAGTAAACAAAAGTACTTGTATTATTATCATGCTCGTATATATTAAATTTATACATTCTGTGGAGCAAAGCAAGAGTGGGAAGGCTTCTCTAATTTGTTGAAGCTGCATAAAGGCTGAAGAGCAAACATTCAACCTTATAAAAGTTGGTATTTCTTGTTTAAGTGATATGTTTTTCAAACTTCCAGAAACTTTAGAATTTCTTTTCCTCTAGTATTTTGATGTAGATAAGATCACTCCGTTCACCCTCTTCCCATGCCAAAAGGAAAAAGTAACTGAAGAAATAATATCTTCAAGTATGAAGAAATTGCCATAGAAGTTGTACCAGCAGGAACATATTTTTTTTTATTATTGTAAACTAGCTGATTTTTATCTGTTAGAATGTAATAGAAAGAAGGTGAGAGATTAGAGGTATGTTTCATTTTATGCATATTCACCTACGTATGCCCCTTGACTTCCCCTTTTTTGCAGTTAAAAAAACATGTCATTGACATATTTTTGAATTTAATTTTGGCTGCTTGCACTAGGGATATTAGTCTGAATTTTGAGGCTGGAACAATTACAGTTTTTAAGTTCTCATCTAATTTAACTGATTCCTTGTGGTAGAAAGTAAATAAGTAAAAAACTTGCAG